AGAGAGAGAGAGAGAGAGAGAGAGAGAGACAGACAGACAGACAGAGATAGAGAGACAGAGAGAGAGAGACAGACAGAAAGAAAGAGAGAAAGAGAGAAAGAGAGAGAGGGGAGGGAGAGAGAAATGGATGGGGTAAAGGAATAAAACACACAATGGTAAACTTTCAAGAGATGAATTAAAACTTATAACTTTCATTTTTGTTCTTGGTACTCCTCTCTTGGAAAATACAGAACCTTGTCAAAATGTCATAAAATTAAATAGCAAATTTCATTTGTCTCAACCCTTCTCATTTTAATTTACAAGGTCGTGAGTTTTTTTCTCATACATCATCTACTTTAGCAGAACATTCCTATGCAATCATTGCAGTCATTCACGACGACTCGATTCACAGGCAAAAGAAATTGTACCCATACTTGGTTTTGAACTAACCATGAACCTCGTTGAGAAGATCTAAATCAACGGTATGAGAACTAATGAAACGCGAATGGACTAAGGACGAAGAAGTACACAGTGATCATAACGGTATGTTAATTATTCGTAGGATCAGTCGCGTGCAGATGATACGCCCATCTCTGTTGCCATGGTAGCAGCGTCAACGCACGCGGCTCATCGTTGAGAATGACTTGTCGCCACGCTCACTCCCGCAACATTATTTTGTTGACGTCACACGCGGTCAATTGGCACCGAGCGATACAGTGAGCGGTTTTGCTCTCTCTTCTAGTAGAAGTTCTACCGTTTGCTGGCATCCCCGCACTCATTCTCTCTCCTCTTTCAAACGCACTCAGACAGATAATTTCTGCTAACAGACGTCGATTTTTGAAGCTCCGTATTTGAGAGGATTTCTGTTGTCAAGCTCATCAGAATAAAAGGTAAGAAACAAATGATATTATAGGGTACAGATGTGTTTCTCAATGAATGCTTCTGCATTGCTCACAAAGTCATACTCAAGGTACTAAAACTTTTCTCACAGCATAATGAGTACAAGTCCGGCACACCTGTAGTAAACATTTTGCAGTAGCTATTTTGGTTGCTTTTTTCTTTTGGTTTGTTTTTGTTTTGCTTTCTCCCCCCCCCCCCCCCCCGAGACTACGAGAAAAAAGAATTTCTGCTTTCATATTACAGAGAATTGCAATGGTTAAGGATAGTTTCAATAAAATGAGCCCATTCCTGAAAAATAGAAACATCTCAATGATAACCAAAACGAAAGTTCTGAAATGCTTTGTATGGTCAACTCTTTTATACGGCTGTGAAAGCAGGACAACCACTAAAGACTGTGAAAATAAAATAGAAGCAACAGAAATGAGATTTCTTAGGAGACAGCTGAGAATATCGTGGAAGGAAAATAAAATAAATGAGGTAGTGCTTGATGGAGCCCACGTGGGACGTTCATTGTTAAAAACAATCAGGAAAAACCAAATGCAGTTTTTGAGACACCTGAATAGACATAAAGGTCTTGAACACATCTAGCTCTCACTTACTTAGCTGAACAACTTACTTAGGGAATCTAAACAAATGGGTAACTGGGAAAGAACAGGGAATCGTAGATTCTTTAAAGAGCGTCCGAGCAAAGGAATGAATAGAGGAACATGATCGCCGCAGATCTGGCACTGGATGATGATGAATGGTTATAGACCGCCTAGAGCTCTCCACCTGCCTCTGTTCTGGGTTCTGGGCGATCTTCTCCATCTCCAGCTAGCAGTGTCCCGCCGGAGATGTAGGGGCGTATCTTTCATCATCATCATCCAGTGCCAGATCTGCGACAGACATCGGCGACCATGGTTTTCCATTCATTCCTTTGCTCGGATGCTCTAAAAAAAAAAGCTACGTTTCCCTGATCTTTCCCTGTTACCCATTTGTTTAGGTTCCCTAAGTATGTTGTTCGGGGCCTACCCCTGCCTCGCTTGCCCTCAATTTTGCCAATGAGAGCTAGATGTTCACAAGAACCTTATGTCTATTCAGGTGTCCCAAAAACTGCATTTGTCGTTTCCTGATTGTTTTTAACTTTGAGCGTCCCACGTGGGCTCCGTCAAGTACTACCTCATTTGATTTCTTTTCCTTCCACGATACTCTTAGCAGTTTCCTAAGAAACCACGTTTCTGTTGCTTCTATTATCTTTACCCAAGTCAATATTCTTCATTTCAATAGGCCATATTGGAGAGCAATAAGTCACATGAGGCTTCACGAAATAAAAGGCTAAAGTCAAGGGAGAAGCCTGCAAGCTGCGCACACCCAAGAGTGGAAAGTACGAATTAATGTTTTAAACCACGAAAGCTGTTTCATTAAGTTTTACAGTTTTACAGTTGCAAGCCCTCAGGTGCTCTTAGAACCGCTGTTGTCTTGAAATTAAGCTTTTAAAAACTCATCACTTAACAAGCAAATAATACCCTTTGTATTTTAAAAGTGGCGATGACCAGGTTTATTTTTTTTTAAAGGTTTGTTGTTGTTGTTGTTGTTGTCGTTGTTTTGTTTTTGTTTTTAAAAAAGAAGTAAGATAATATCTGAACTTTCTGGTGTTTCTTTTTTCGGTTCCGTCAAAACCGGTTTTTTTTCTGTCAATGCTTTCGAAACGGTATGTGACGATGAACACATATTATTTAGCTAATACATTTTAGCACCTTCTTGATTCCTTGCAAAAATGATTGGGATAATGGAAAGTATTACTTGTAAATCTCTTGAAGCATGCTGTAGCGTAAAATATACATA